GAAATTGTTCTGGTTTTTTTGCTAATCACTTTCATAAATGCTGAGAAATATCTGTCAAGTAAATTTCTGTCTTTCTGTATTTAATTTCTGTTAAGAATGGTCAATTTTGTTACATCAAAGTCTTTCAGAATTAAATCCACATCTTTTTTCTCCCTTCCAGCAGGAGTAACTCCAAAGGGTAGCAGAAAAGATAATTTGTCTAACTTGTCTATAGGTTTTCAACACTTTATCTTCACAGTTGGTTCAGCATGGCCACAGCACTGATCTGACTTCACTGGACAGAAACGGAAAGGAAAACAAATGTTCCTTCGTAGTACTTTGACCTTAAAATACCACAAACACCATCCCTCTTCTTGTGTTATTTGTGTTATTTTCAAATTGAATCACTCAGCAGAACAGGTCAAAAAGTCAGAGACCACCATTTCTTCTCCCTGCTAGCAGGATAGAAAGCTCTGATAGCAACAAGTGTTTACTGTTTTTTTTTTTTTTTTTTAAATGTGATTTTAGGCTTTGGTAATCACCAAGACTTTAATTTCTAGCTAAAGTATTTAAAACAATACATTATTTTTGATTGAAAATGCTTGCCACTTTCCACCCATGTTAATAATCAAATTGCTTCTGTTTTCTAGACAGAGAAAAAGCTGAGTTTGCAGTCGATTTTTACTAAAAAACCTGATTTGTTGGTCCTGTTCTTTTCTCACTGATATAAGTAGGCAAAACTCCCTTCCCTGCCTGGAGGGGCATGTCTGGGTCCATTTCTTTCACAACAGGGCTGAAAAAGATCTTGGGCTTTGGTCCAAGAGCAGTATCTTCTGGGGTCACTTCAAGTTCTGCCTAGTTGAAAAATTTATCAATAAATGTCATGTCATTACTTGCAGATAATGAAGAGTTATTGTGTCTGAGGGACCACTGTGGAGCTGTCAGTGTTGGCAGTGTGTAGCACAGGTTTGCGCTGAAAGCGAAGGTGTTGGGTCTGCAGGCTCATCCCCGTGCTCATCGGCCCATAAAGGGAGGCAACACCATGTGGAGTGATGCTGAGTTAGACCTAGGGGAGGTCTTGCACTTCCATACCACCATGAAAGTTGGGAGATGCTTGCAGGAGATGCTTGCTTTTTCTCTCTTTCCTTTTCCTTTTTTTTTTTCCTCTGGATGAAGCTAGTGTTTGAAAAAAAAAATCAGTAAAAGAGCAAGAGCTACTCCAGAGTAGTCAATAGCCAGTTGTTGGCATTTGCTGGGGACAAGAGTATTTCAGGTTATGCAACTTAGAATTTGATCAGGTTAAGTAAAGACTGACCATGAGTCTCCTCAGCAATATCTCTGTGTCTCCTTTTCAGCTTAGAAAGCATTCCCAAGAAAAGTTCAATTGAAACAGCACTCTCCCCTGGAGTTTTAGTTCAGAGGAAAATGATTTTGCTGATAAATTCCTTGAAACTCCAGAAATGTGAAGTGATTTTACCTGAAAGGTAATTTATTATAGACATGTTGCCCATTAATTGAGATAATCTGCAACAATGATGATGAACAGAGATGATCGGGGATTGTACTTTTAAAATGCCATTCTGACTAGAAAAGCAATTTGGGATCCACTTACATCTCAGTAATGAAAATTGGGTAAGGTAATAAGAGATTTCATTTTGTGAGTGAATTGACAATGCAAATACCAGGATTTTTAATTTAGGTTTAAGTGCAGTAATGGCTACTCATTCTGATGCATCATTAGTCATATTGCTTTTTAATGAGGGATTCACTTTCTTTTCCTGGTTAGCTCTAACACTGATAGCAAAGCCCAATGAATGCATAAATGTTCAGGGAGGTCTGATGAATACGTGTCACTACACCATTTTCATTTAAAAAAGGAAGAAAAAGCAGTTTTCCTTCTGTGGCGAAGAAATACAAATTTGCTTTTAGTGAGAGGAAAATAAATAGTGCAGAACTGTGATTGGTAGGCTGTCATAAAAAATCATAGAATAAGATACATTTTGAAGCAAATTCTAGAAAATATAGAAGGAAAATTGCACAAAGTGTAGTGCTTGTGAAAGGGACTGGCTTTATGGCTGACAGCAGTAGGAAAAAGTGGTTCTTTGGCCATCTGCAACATGGATACGTTACAAATAATGGCAGATTAAGGTTCTTCTTGCCCTACCAAACCCACCCCATTCCTCTTCTGGATAGATCTCTGTTCAGCATTTTTATTTCTTCGATGTCTTTTTTTCTCTTTTTCTTTCATTTTTTTCCTTTTTCCTTTAATTAAGAGCTTGTTTTGATGTTCATTGAACTCAGTGGGAATCTTTCCATCAGGTTGAATGCATTAGGTCAGATTCATAATCAGCAGCCACTGAAACAACCTAACAATAGTTTTGTCACACACAAGTGCACTGTCTTAAATAGGATTTGCTTTAAAAAAAGCAATAGAACTAATCCATTATAAACACTTATTAGAGCAGAGTTTTGACTGTATCTGTATATTTACCAACACAATTTCAACCAATTTAAGCCAAATTGAAATTAATGCAGACTCTTGCTCCAGGCAGGAGCATAGGGCAGTTAAATTAAATTAATTTAAACTGTCGTATTTTTAGCCACAGCAGTATGATATTGTGTGTTGACTAGACTTAGGTCTGGTTGCCCTATTTCCCTTGGTGGGCGAGATGTTTTGACTTTCTATGAGGATACGCTGGAGTGTGATGAAACACGTGCTGTGTCTAATGTAGACCAAGCCATTCAGATCGGGGGGCAAGAGAACCAGTTTCTGGGAGGCCAACAAACATCCACCAAATCTCTCTTTCTCATGCCTGTTTCTACACTCCTGGTGTCTGATAAGCATGTGGCACCTTGCAAGTCTCTGTGCAGTTTGCAAAAGTCTGAGCAATCCAGGGCCTCTGAACACTGGTAAGGCAGTGCACGTCCTTCTGGAGCAGAGCCTTTGGGGAGAGCTGTGACCTGTGGGGTCTCCAGCACAAAGCTACAACCTCATATTTTCACTCTGCTGTTTTATTCTGCTTTTCCCTTGCCCATTCAAGTGCTCAATCATCACGGATGTCAGGGAAGGGTGCGTGAGCTCCTGAGCTGACAAACTAAAGGAGCGGGTGCAGGGTGCTGGCACCTCTCCAGGAGGTTGCTGTCTCCCTGTGCACATACAATAGTGAAGAAGAGGTTGCATGCAGCAGGGCAGCGGAAGCATGACCAGCCAGGGTAAAATCCTTTCAGGACAGCCACTAAGAGACACCTACACATCACGTGTCTGGGACAGTGCCAGTAAACCAAGAGTCTTCTCATCGTCTTCCTTTGTGACCTGTTGACCTTCCTTTGAAAGTATATACCTCCCAGGCACAACGGAGGAAACTCAGTTTTGCAGCAGTCACTCTTTAGCTTCAGAAGGAGTTATCTGCTTCAGATCTTTCTGTCTCTGACTCACTATTATGGAATGGGAAAGAAATATAGGCCATGATCTTCTCTGATGCCACCCTGTAAATTCAAGGGAATCCCAGACATCCAATATACTGAACTCATTCGCTATCACTTGACTCGATGTGAGGCACAACAGTTCCTGGCAGACTGGGTGATACACAACTAGCATCCCGTTCTCACAATGGCTCTCTTGAAAACTGCCCTTCTCTTCACAGCTTGTAAAAGGAAAGTTGGTAAGAGTGCATGTGCCAGAATGGTTGTGAAAGCACTGGGTCATGCTAGATGTTTCAACCTAAGAAAACAACATTTTGAAATAAAAACAAAGCTGAATATGTCCTAAAACAGTCCATGTAGCTACAAGAAAATGTTTTCTGACACTGACAGAAAATTATGTGTTCACTCTGAATGCACCAATTCTCTCCTAAATGGGAGCAAGAAATGGAAATGAACTTTCCATATTTCCAGAGACCTGTGCACGGCCACAGTCCCCCAAGTCTCAGTTGTGGTCAGCCTTTGGGGTTACTGAGAGGTTTTTATATACAGTTGAGCTGATTTATGAGATTTCCTGTTAAATTTTATTGCACCAGTGGCTTTTCTTTGGCTCTTTTGAAGTAGAAAACATCATTTCTGCAGCAAATGCAAGTCAAAAGGCTTAACGGAGCATCAAAATCTCAAAGGTCATGATTTTGTAGCTTTAAAACAGAGGACAGTGCACTACCTGATACTCTTAAAAATATGAAACATTAGTGAGGATGTTTGCTGATAATAGAAAGATACAATCTTCTCGCAGACCTTTGATTTTGGCTACTTGTGTATTGGCTTTTTATGGGTGTACTCTTATAAATGAGAAACTCCTGTCATTCTAGGACCATCCCGTTTCACAGTCACAGACAGAGAAAACTAACAACGTGAGGCAGAAACTTTGTCTCAGGGAGATTATTCAGTACTCTCCCCACCCAGTGCTTCTTCTCCCTTTGAGCCCAGACTATTGATTGCATATATTTGATTTCTAGGGTCGTATAGACTACCTTTATTTATTTGACTTTAAGACCTGTGGGTGAATGCAAACTTATAACCAAGTAAGAAACTGTTTCTGTCACACACATTTGCAAGCTGAGGTGAATCACAGTAGCACTGTTTACCAACTTTCATTGCTTTCTGCATGCAGGTGATTGGCATAGGCTATGCTGTTTTAAAAAGAAACATCTAGAAAATGTCTCTTGGTGGATTTCTTTTGCTGATTTTGATTTAATCGTAAGTCTTAAAAATATGTCTTCTTTTGCATCTTAAGTAATGTTTTTAATAAACGTGTAGGAACTTGGGTAGAATAGAAATGCCTTCTTGCTGTATTGCTTAATGGAGTAGACCTTGAACAGTTTGCCTCCAATTGCTTGCAAATCTTTTTTCTAGGTGTGGGCATGGAAAAAGCATTTTATTACAATATTCACTGCTACTGCTGTTGCAGGGAGAAGCGATGGGAACAGGTTATGGGACAGAAGCAGTCATGGGAAAAGCCAGTACAGCAGGAGGGGCACAGCTTTCCTTCTTCTCATTAATACAAACTGTTCTGTTTTCTGTTGTTGTCTTTGCAGCAGTCCAGCACAGGGGACTTGAGGACTCTGAGGAAAGGGTTGTCCCCGTACCACTCTGAGTCACAGCTCTCGTCACTGCCACAGTATCAAGATGCCCTGCAGAATGTAAGAGACGTTTCCTTACCTATGCAGACAGAGCCATGGGTTTCCCAAAAGTGGGCATGGCTGGAGGGGGGCACATGAAGATTATGGGGGAGCTCTCCCAGCTGAGAATTCACCCTGAACTGGTGGTGCAAATGTGCAGCTGAAACCTGCAGCTGTTGGGAGGGTGGGGGGCCCCTGAAAACACTGATCTTTACCTGAGTTTGGATCATCAACTTCCCAGCACTGGTTTATGGTTAACTGACAGTCACTGTTGTGCATCTTTTAAAGCAAGGATGAGTGTTGTTATACCTGCAGCTCCTTCTTTGTAAATGCTCTGTATGCCTGCTGGCAAAAAGCTGGTCGTGGATGAGGCAAAAGATAGTTTGCAAAGTGTCTGGCAGTGAGTGGTCAAGGATGCTCTAGCAATTAAGTTCTTAGAACTTTCATAGCAGGTTTTTCTTTATCACGAATGAGGTTTATGTTTCCTAAGATTTGCCTGTGTTGCTTCTTCTCAAACAACAGAAGAATCTTGATTAAAGCCTCTTGTGAAAGATGGATACTGTGCTGCTGTGGCAGGGCTCCCCCTGCACTGGTGTGCCAGGCATGGCGGAGGAGGCTGAGCCCTGCCAGTGATTGTCTTCCAGATGTTTGCCTGACTGCCTGAGACACTACATTTGCTTGGTGACATCATGGATGCCCCATCCCTGGAGATGTTCAAGGCCAGGCTGGATGAGGCTTTGAGCAACCTGATCTAGTGGGAGGTGTCCCTGCCCACGGCAGGGGGATGGAACGAGGTGATCTTTAAGGTCCCTTCCAACCCAAACCATTCTGTGATTCTACAATTCTATGATTTTCCAGATTGCAGAAAAAGCATAGATGCAGTCAGGAGGTCCTCCTCTGAGTGGGCTTTGAGTGTCATGAAGGTGGACAAAAGCCTGATGGCAGCACAGCCAGGGGATCTCCCTGCAACCTTGTGTCCTCTGCTGTGTGTCCAGGGCACGGGTCAGCAGAGCTGCAGGTACTGTGGGACCAGTTGTATGTTGGCTGCCTGCTTGGGTAAAAGTTATTCTGTAGATTTAGTGTGCCTCTTAAAGCTATAAAAAAGGGGGTAATAATAATTTAAGAAAGTTTGCATAAATAAAACTCCAGTGTGTAAACAGAAACCTTTTCCATCTCTGCTGAATTTCAGGATGGAAGGAGACCTTCCAGCCGAACAAAAGGGACAAAACTGTGGAAATTAAATGGAAGATTGTGGCTGCATATCCACTTTTCTAACTTGGTGCCCAATATTAAGTCAAGAGACTTTATAAGGAGAGCAGAGAGATATGAGCGTGGAGAAGTTTGTCTGGCTGTGCCGATGCCTTACAGTTTTGGGGATTTTGCTTTGCTTCCCTTGTGCTCAGGCTTTTGCTCCCCAGCTTGGTCCTAGGTGGGGGATGCTAAACTGGCCTGTGCTGGTTGCCTCCCGGAACTCCACTACACACAATTTTACACTTATCTTTTGGTTCAGGCCAGGATATGGCTGGCAGCTTTCTGCAGAGAAGCTGTTTCTGGGCTGGGAGCTGGCAGGAGATTTCTCTGCCCGAGCATCAGCCCCCGCAGCTCACCGGGACTGTGTGAGGGCTGGCGGCAGATGGTGCTGCCGGCTGCAGCCCTGCCTGGCCACTTGTCCCTGCTTTCCTTCCTTCCTCAAGGAAGAGGTGGCACCTGGCGTTAATGGAGAGGCCCAGGTGCTGTGTGATGCTCTCCTTCATCTGTCACCCGGGCTGTGTTCTGCCTTCTTGGCAGGAAGATGATAGAGGAAAACCAAAACCAGCTCTGGATCCAAATCCATATAATCTGGGATATTTATGTAGCCATTCATTTAGTTATTCCTACCAAAATCCCTTTAGTTTTGTGGCTTAACATGGTGGATAGTTTTTGTGATGAAGGATAACGACCACAAATCCACACAGATGTCTTTTAATGTCTCAGACACCTCCCAGAAAGGGGACAGTTAAACGTACATGACTTTCTCTGCAGCCTTTTTTTGACAGCAGGCATGAATTTGTGAGAAATTGTTCCTTTTTGTGTGTGCACAGGCTTCACGTGGGTGAGTGATGGCAGACGACTGGTGGCAGCTCCAAAGCTGTCACATGTGTTCAGGGTTTCATCATCATCGCTGCCTGTGCAGCTCTTTGGAGAAGTTCCTCAGCCTATTCCTCACTGTCACATAGTTTGCACATGAGCATCACTCCATCTCTCCATGGCTCTGACACACCTTGGTTAATGAAGCAGTTTGGTGTTTCTATGAATCCTGGCTCATGGACGCTGGTGCACACTCAAGACACAGAATCGAAAGACACTCACAATTGCAACCTGTGCAGAAACACTGTCCCGTTAGTCGGTGATGCTCACGCAGACAGTAACTTATAGATTTGCTCAGTGGTCTGCAGCAGTTGACAAATACCCAGCAAAAGCAGCCCCAGGGGTTAGTTCTGACCTACAAGCCCCTGGCGGTTGCAAGGGAAGGAGTGACACACACATTAGCTTGAACTGATAGCGGGCTGGTCAAACTCCCCAGCCCTGGGAACTGCAAACCAGAGTCATCCCGTGGTGTACTGGAGGCTCCCTGTGTCCTTTGAGAGGTGAGGGCAGTTCCCTCAGGCTCAGACTCTGAGTGAGGCATGAGAGGAGGTGGCAACAAGCAGCTCCCTGTGGGACCTGCCATTCCCCTGGGATGAGAGAGTCAGGCTCCAGGGCAAAATGGTTGGGCTGGCTCGATCTTTCCCATTGCCGAGAGCCTCCAGACCTGCTCAGCCTTGAGTCAGATGATGTCCCAGGCATGGGAGCTGACTTTGAAGGACCTGTAAGCAGTGCACTGCTGAGGATCCAGCAGCCGGCCTGGGGTCTGGGTGTCGGCGATAGAAATGGTTGCATGGCATCCTTGGAGAGCTTGTGCTTGCATTTGCTAGCCTGGGCTCTTGCTGCGTCTTCAGTACTTTGGTCCTCTGTGGTAGATAGAACAGATTCTTTCACCCATGTTGCATTTGTGTCTTACCTGCACTGCATGTGTTCCCTTCGTGGCTCCTCCATGTGGATGAGGCAGCACTTGGGATGAGTTATTACACTTAGATTAGCAGCCCTCTGATTTACTGCAGCAGCTGTTGGAGGAGTAACGTTGAGGAGTCGTAGATGTGCGGTTGGTGCGCACAGAGAAGGTGATGCTCAGTCTGTCCTGGAAACTCTCTCAGCTCAGAGCTTTTCTGGAGTTTAACAGTACCAGGTGGGAGTTACTGACTTTCAATTTTGTTTGTTGGCATTGTCCAGGGAGTCTGGATTGCCCGGTCATATGGTCTCACCTATGATTAGTGAGGTGGAAATTACATTTCAGTAACACTGAGAGAATAACGGTGGTTTTGGGTAATTGCCACTGCAGGAGGAGGAGCCCTGTTGGCACCGTGCTGTGAATCAGGACTGGGAGCCATGCCTGCCACTATGAAGGGATTCTTCTTGCAAACATATGTATCTTCTTTTCACCTTTCCGTGCCTCAACATTTCCCTTGAAGGAATTGGGTGGGAAATCACCCACCCCATAGCGTGGTTTTCAGGCAGTTCTTTGTCAGTAAGTGCTCCAGGATCCTCCAAGCACACATAATAGAAGGTGGTTGTTAATTTTTGAAACAATGTAGCATTGCTGGAGAGTACACTTTTTCTCTCATGGGCTTTCTCCAGCATTAATCTAATGATGAATAAAGACTGGGAGGTGGAGTTGTTCACACTTGGTTTCAGCTCTCAGGTCTCTCACTCTCTGTAAAGCCACTGTACACAGTGCTTAACCTTTGGTGCACATCTAGTGATTTCTGAGTTACGTTTCTGACATGGGGAGAATGTATGGGGGAAAAGGAAATTCCCCATCCACAGTGGTAAGGCTCTTATTTTGTTACTAGTAGTCATGTTTCAGCAATTCATTTTCTAAAAGGTGGAATCTCAGGTGCTTATTTCTGGAGTATTTGAGGTCCCTGTAGCACAGATGAGGATGAATGCAGTGGCTGAGGCATGTCCCAGAGCTTGCATCTCCGTCTCTTCTCTGCCTTGGCCTGTTCTTGGGTGCTCTGGCTGTCCGTGTGGACACACCGTCCCTGCAGACCTTCAAGTTCCTGCCTGCTGCCCTGTGGCTGTGCCCCAGGCATGTCTCAGTGCTCAGGCAAGGCAAGGTGGCCTGAGGGCTGCTCATGTTCCTGTGATTGGAGGTACTTTGACCTTGAGAAGCTCGTAAGCCAGCTGCCTGGAGGAGCCATTTGTCTACATTGATGTAAAACACCGTTAAAGGTGAACCAGGCTGTTACTAGCAGTTGGAGCTAGCCTGGCTGGCTTAGACTTAAAACATACTAGCAGTGTTCATGTGATTTATAATAGAAATCCTGCCTTTGGTGGAAGTAACTGTAGAAGTTTGTAGTGGAAACATGAAGGTTAGTGTGGATGGAGTGTGAACAGAAAAATGCGTGTGAAAACACCAGGAGGAACACTAAGAACAAGGGATGCAGGAATGGCCTGTGCTGATGACCAAAGACACAACCGACAGCAAGCAGATGGGTAAACACTGCGGGATATGTGGTTTGCATCAGGACCAGGACGTCTGTGCTGTGATAAGGCCACAGCACAGATGGCTCATCACTAGAAGACCTGTTCCCTGATAACGTCAGCAAGATTACACTGTGATGTGCCATTGCGCTTCCTGTGGTCCCAAGAGGAAGGCTTAGATAAGGTGCCCAAAATGAGACAACAGGCAGCAGCTTTCCTGGGGTTTGTGAGAGATGAGTAAGCAATATGCTGAGATAAAGATCAGCCTGTAATAACCATTGAGTCCTAAAGCATGTGAAAAATGTGTCCAAAACCCAGTTATTTGCTGTCAATGAGGAGGGATGCCTGAGCTGTCGTTAGGACTTGCTAGTGGATGTCCCTTGTCCTCTGTGTGACACACAGTGACCCTGACCAAACCACATGGACATCTACCTTTTGGTGAAAGGTGTGTGAGTTTG